ATGCCTACAATTTGATATGTAAATTAACCGGATAAGGCCATGTGTACTACGAACCAAAGGTCACGATCTAACTTGTAACACTATAAATACTACCCCCATGTACCCCATACAAGGTCTAATGCAAGAATCAATACAAGATACCATACTTTACACAACTCTCTCTCTCTCTCTCTCTCTCTCTCTTATTATCTTACAATACAAACGAATTCATACATATTTAGATACACGTTTACAAACATCGATTGATAATTATTCTGCAATCGGTCTACGAACATCTCGCCGGATTCCAAACGTTCTCGTCTCGCGTCATTGAGCTACTCCCACACCCTTGATCTGTCTGTTTTAGACCGTCCACGTGTTTTTGCGTGTTGGACTTTCACTTACGTGAGTACGGATGGGTCCGACATCTGTTGACAATATTTTTTGGGTCAACAAAGCTCAAAGATTCAGTCAAACTAGAAAGAATTTGATCAGATTCTGGATACAGCAGTCGCAATAATAATAATCACAGCCGGCAGTTTTGTTCTGATTTAAACAAGTTTAAATAACAATTAGGCCTCCATCTGTTTCCAAGCAGACACTAAAATTCAAACACGCTTCTATCAAATGACGTAAACACCCTTGTCTTTGCTTTACTGGAGTTGATCAATCATGAAAGGGAAATGGATAGTTTGGTCAATGTCCTCATGCTTGGAGTTGGAGGCCATGAATACTAGAAACTTTTATAATATCCCAAAATTTTCCAACTTCGTGGGCTGTGATGTTTCCATCTAAAAAATGCCATCCAATTTGGATTTTGACTATATGAACATAAAATTGTATGTGAGATATTACATATAATAATATGAAATGAAAAGATTGGATGAAAAAGTTGACTATGTTTTAAATTGACAAATAATAGAGTTGTATGTGACATTATTTAATTTATTATGTAAAACTTGATGTACATATAGTAAAGTTCAAAGTTATTTTTATTCTATTAAGAAGTCAAGAATAAGAGAAAATTATTTTGTTTCCTAGACAAATAGCACTATGACCACCTAAGGGACAATATTTTACACATTTGGACCATTAGTGACAATTCTAGTGCTTCTTAATATTCACTCAAAAGTCCAAAGTTTAAAAAAAATAAAATAAAATAAAATACATATACACACACACTTTACCTAAATAAAGGTCTAACATGTGTAGATTTTTCGTAATGGATCGCTTTAGAAGCTTCATTTGCTCTAACAATATTTTATGCACTTGCCCCCTAGGGCACAGCTCAACTGGTGGATCAATTAACATTGGCTTGCTTCCAGCGGCAGGATGGAGAGTTCGATTCCTGGTGGGAACCTGCGGCCAAAAATTTGGTATGGAACAATCACTGTGGAGGAGGGTCTCTTGTACGCAGAAGTGTACAGTCAATGAGGGGAACCTGTGATCCAGTTGAGGCAAATCCCGCGATTTACCCCCTCCAAGGTTCTAGGGGCATGGGTTTTGGAGGTCCAGGATTTAGTCTGGTATAAGTTGGGATACCTGGATATCAAAAAAAAATATATATATTTTATGCACTTATCACAAAATGCAATAAATTATCTCAAATGCAATTATCATTCAACTCGATGGATATACACTCGCAGGTGAAAAATAAACGTATGCTATATTTAAAGAATCTGTAAAATTAAAGAAGAGAATGTGTATACTGAGCCCCATTATTTTTCATTACATTAAATTAAGTTTTTTTCTCTCCTACTTTTAATCACACAATTTTCAATAAAATAATATTACACGTAAATCAAACACTTTTCAATTACTCATTTTTCAAAAAAATATTATTCGTCTCATTATAATTTACAAATAATGGGGCTCAAACGCCCCCTGAATTACATTGTCGTGTCTTTTATGTCTCTTCTTATGTTACACATGATATGTAGGCGAAAGGACGCCCTCATAAAAACAATTTTCTATCCACATGACTATGAGGTAATGAAAGGAACTCCATTGGAAAATAATCTATATCTGCGTAAAAATAAGTGAGAGTACGCGGAATTATTCCTTTCATTCAAAACCCATTTTCTATAGCTGTGTGGCAGATTAATAGATGCACAATTCAAGTGGTGCAAAAGGCACCTCCAAACCTCCCCCATACCGACAAGATTTATGAATGCCACTTTTGGCACTATAAATTGGCACCAACCCTTCGCTCATCCATCGTGCAATTTCCTCTCCTCCTCTCTTTCTTCTCTTTATCTCTCTAAAAATTCAAGAAAATCTCGTTCTTGTTATAACACAGATACAATATATTTGCTGTTGAATCTCCATTTTTTCCCTTAATTATTCTCTTTTAGTATGTCAACTGTAGTGTGTCAGAATCTTGTATCATGTTTCGAGCGGTCTCAGCAAACAGAGACAGCAAGCCTGAAGCTGAAAGTGGCGTCGTCTCCATCGTCAACCACCGTAGAATTCAGCATGTTAGGAAGTGATCAAATCCCTGAAGTTAAAGAAAATCTTGAAATAACTGGTTGGAGTTCTCTTCAAAATCTCTCTTCCACGAGCACAAAATCAGCAAAAGAATATGATACCCCATATATTTATCCCTTTGAAAAAAGGTCGTTGAGTGAAAAAATAAGCCTGGAATTATGTACTGAAAATTTGGGAAGCGAAACAGGCACTGATATTTCTGATTGCAGCATTTTCTCAAACAGTTACAGCTCGCTCCAAAATGCACCAGAAAAGCCAAAGAAGGAATCAAGAAATTTCAATAAAGCAGCAGCAAATTCTTGTCGCAGTTTTCCCCCGCCGTTGACAACCATAAGCGGCGGCTCAAATTCCCTTCAAGTCAGGCGCCACTGTGAAGGCGGCAGGCTTATAATCGAAGCGGTGGAGACCCCATTTAAGCCCACTTATCTTCAAGCAGAAAGAAGCGATGGCCGCCTCAGACTCTGCTTTTTCCAAGAAGAAGAAGTAGGAGAAGAAAATGAAGAATGTGAGAGTGAGAGTGAGAGTGAAGTAGAAGATGAAATGATTGAAAGGGACGCCATTGATGGAGAAAAAATAGAAAATTATGAAATAGAATCAGAACAAGAAGATGATGATACGAGACTTGGACAGTCATGGGGACAGGGTGTCGATGTTGAAATGGGAATGGAGAAATTTCAAAGGTTGAGTAACTGTAGTAGGTGCAAGGAAAGTGGGCATGGGAATAAGGGATTATGCAATTGGAAGCCTCCTTTATGGGTCGCTATTTCCTAATTTTTATTTTTATTATTTTCATTTTTGAATCCTAATTTTTTTAGGAGAAGCTTTTAAATTACTTCGCGTAAAATATTATGCAATGGGTGGTAGTGTATATAGTTATTTGGATGGAAACTCTATCTTGCATGTTCACCTCTGATAAACTTTACGTTGGTTATTTATAAGTTAAAACATAAGACACAATCATGTCTTGTAGTAAATATTTTATTTCGTACAAATTCTCAATACAAAAAGTGCATTATGTCTCGTGCCGCTCAAATTCACAAAAAGAATAAGATTATAGTAGGAAAGTAGTTTTGATATGACGATGTTAGAAGAATAGTTTTGGTACGACGGTGATATCTGTTTACATGACACAATTCACTCCTCTATTGTCCAAAAATATAAGGGCCTAGTAAGTATTTTGTCAATATGGCACGTGTAACAAATGTCTAGCGAGCAAATGTTAAATTGAAAGGGTATGTGACAACTTTTGTCCATTAGCTAGAATGATTAGGCTTCCAAAATAATTGGGGACCTTAATTTGCCCAAATTATTGACAAATGACAAATATTTAGACATGATTCACATGAAAAGAAAACGAGATTATGATGTAAGCTTGTCCCATTTCAAAAAAAATATTGCAACACTTTAATTCTTTGACTACTTTCTTTGTCCAATTGTCTTTTAAAAATCTTCTAAACTCTATTCTTGAACATGACATACTAACAAAAAATATGTAGTTGTTAAGGTAGATGATCAGAATCTTTGATCTACGATCGATGTTTAATGATCGTACTGAATTGCGCTTCCAAAATCTAATATGCTTGAACGTTTTCTAAACTTTTTGACTTTATAAAATTAACTTACGTACCCAAAAAAAAAAAAAAAATTCTCATTGAAAAGTAGTTGAATCTAGTGACGGACTTGACCCAATACAGCCCCTGACATCTATGGTTGCAAATGCTGACTTTCATTTTTTGAAGACAATGACATGATTACCAAAATGCCGGTACTGCCCATCTCCTGGAAAACACAAATTGCTCACACGTGAATAAATACAAAAAATGTTTACGTCGTTCCACGTTAGAATGGAATTCATGTCATGCGAAATTAGATAAATATTTATTGTCTGCTGCTTGCCTGTTACACAGTTTGTAAAATAAAACATGATGAGTAAACAAAAAACAAAGAAATTGAAGAGATTTTGCTCTTGAAAAAGTGGAAAAGGCCTAATAAATTCCTGTCGATCCGTTGTTTATTTAAAGATTTTGGTATTATGTTTGAAAAATTTGCGATGACGATATTTCATTATTAGGTGACTTAGAGATTAGCGCGAGAAGTGAAAAAAAGAAAATGTAATCTCGTTAATTCATGCTGTAAATCTCTTTGTGAGACAACGAAGGAGATTATATGGAAGCCTGAAGCTGCATTTAGTGCCTATTTGAGCCCTACTTTTGGCTAACAATACATTTTATAAAAGTAGATTAAAGGAAAATGTACGGTTGAAAATTAATGAAAATTTTTTATTCTGCAATTGATATTATTTTATTTAAAAATGAGTGGTTGATAAAAAAAGAAAAAATATATTTTCAAAATAATGAGGATCAAAACAAGAGCTTAATATTTGCGGCCTTGGTGCCGTTCAATTAATGAATAAAAGTATGACACTTCCTCCATCAAGTGCAATGATCAAAGCCATTGAGATGGATCATGGATGGTTGGGATGCGTTGTTGTTATTGAGTGATTTGAAAGGGGTAGTGCTGCCCTTGATTAGAGAATTTATTGTGGTGTAGTTGTTTGTTCGGATCCTCTAGGACACCTGAGTGATTAAGATTCTTCGAAAAATCTCCATTTTCAAAAAAGATAACAAATGAGCTGATCAACAGCATTCTTCATTTGAAGTTGATACAAATCTTATCCCTTCAAAAGAAACATATGATTTTACATAAAAGTGGTACGTGAGATAGCACCAAAATATTTGTATGAATGGTACAAAAAATGGGACCAATATGAATGTCATTGCCTGGTAGGTTGAACATTCCTACAAAAAAGGCATAAAAGTACAAGATTACACAATGGATTTTACTATTTGTACACAAAAATGGTGTATAAATTGTTACTGAAAATGATGTGGACGAGAAAAATTGGATGAAAAACTTTAATGTATTTTAAACCGACAAATAGTAGAGTTGCTGGTGATATTATATAATTCCTTCTACAAACTTTGGTGTAAATGTAGCAAGATCTTTACCTAACACATTTATATGGTTACAAGTTATATTGATGCTTTCCACTTAGCCCCCGTTTGGCTCCCATTCTTGCCAAATTTTAATGGTGGGAATAGTGTTTTTCTGAATAATGTATAGTTAAAAAAGAATAAAAAAAATTTAATTTGCGTGTAATATTATTTTATGAAAGATTGTACGATTGAAAGTAAAAGAGAGAAAAAGAATGAGAATGAGAATGGGACCATACGGGGGCTTAAAAGTAGCGTGAAAAAGTCGCAATGATTTTAAATATGAATGTTGAGTAAATTGTATTTAATAACCAGTTATATAAAATCAGTATTTAAAAAAGTAGATATGTGACCAAATAACCTAAAAGAAATTAAAATGTGATATGTTAATATTTCTTAATAATCCAATAATTTATTATTTATGATATCTAATTAAAATTAAGTGTGGCGGAAATTATGAAAAATAATGATTATAATAATTCAATACTTAAGTATTTACATTACTCCAATAATTGATTATTTTGATAATTGTTACTTAAAATATTTGATATTTTAATTTTAGCAGCATACTACTGTTGTGGAGGCAATCAGGAAGAAAATCTAAATGAAGATAGCCAATACACTAATTGCAAAATCTACTTTACAAATTAAATTATGTGGTGGAGCTGACCAATCTTATCCTATTCCCATTGTGCACGTAGAAAACATGATCGATGTAAAATAGATTTTTTTTTTCTTTTTAAAATTTAAATTTTTGTCCTATTTAGCTTACATGCTGAAGAAACTAAATTTAATTCCCAATAAATAGAATATCGACCACGTGTCATATATTATTGCTTGTCACTTTAAAGGTATAGGTGACGAACATTATATAACCTATTATCTAAAAGAAAAAAATGCGATAAGAACCATGTCAAAATTGCCTATTCGATCGAAAAAATGAGGAACTGGTCCCCTTATATATGAAAATCTAGCTAACCATCCAATAAAATAAAAAAATAAAAAATAAATTCGAAAACTGGTTGGTTCACCCTTTTTATATATATTATTTTTCATGTACAATATGATTCTCAATCATCCCTTTGATTCTTTATTCTTTACTCTTTTAAATCGATGACCTAATCTATTTTTATAAATAAGGCAATTAAGGTAGCTTCTAGTGGATCTCCTCTTTTCCAAAATGAAAAGGGCTCTTTGATTCAAAAAAGTTTTATACAAACTTGCTAACTAAGGAACATAATTCAATTAAAGAAAGAAAATTTAAAAAGTGAAATATTAATAAACTAAAGAAGGATAGTTAATTAAAGTTTTAAGAAAATGAAACATTTGATGACCTTTGCTTAAATAAGACAAAATAATTTATACTTTTAAACCATTAGTGCCTTAATGCAATACATATAGCCTCATTTGTCTTGTCTTACATTTCTTCTTCATTCCTAAGGTTTGAATTTTCTAGTAAGTTCAAAGGGGAAAAAATATTTATGATTAAAATTATATAGAGACGTCTTTAGTGCACTATATTAAACAGTATTAGAAACGATTAAAGAATAATTTGTATTGAGTACGTATTTGCATACATCCACACACAAGATTTTGTTTTAAAATCAACATGCAAAGATTTATTAGGAATGGTAAAATGGTTTCAATAGTTATAAGAGACAAATTTGATACGTGGGACAAAATAGAATTATATGATTTTATAATAGAAATATACAATGAAAACTATTTGATTAGAGCGAAATCTAGCAGCATAATGAACTTGCCTCAAATTTAATTAATCTTACACTCGTTTTTAAAATTAATATAACACCATATATTTCATGCATAATTCCTCTTTATTTTTGTCTTAGGATTTTCATTCCTATCCATTAGGTTCAATTAATTTCCATGAAATAAGACACGTACTTCTTTGAGGTACCCTTTTAATGATTTGTGAAGGAGAGCAAAGAAAGGGATTGCTCACCTGTTGGATTTGAAAGAGAGTGAGAGATATGCCTTTTATGGCCAAAAGTTGTTCAATAATACAACCTATTTGAGAAAAGGAAAAGAAAAAGAAAAATAAAAGGAAAAATGAGAGGACCAAACATGGAATATTCTGCTACTTGTCTGGTCTTAGTTGGATATTATTTTTGGAACTTTGTAAGAATCTTCAAAAACTCGTGAAATTTAGGATTAGCATGCATCTAGGTACTCTAAAAAATGAAAACGGTGGTCGTGTTATAAACTAGAGAGAAAATGAGAGAATAAGAGAAAGAAATCAATAAATTTGTGTGTTTTATTAAGAATCAAAACCCCATATTTATAGGAAAAATTAGTATATAAACGATATAACAATCATAAAGACTAGGAGTGTGAAGATATAAAAATCATTTATAAATACTATTAGATTTAAAATACTCGCTCTTCAATGACTATTTACATAATAATTATTTCATTGAAACATTATTTGATCAAAACTTGATGGGACAAAAATACTAACAAATAAAAAAAGCACAAATAATTTGGAGGAAAAAACTGCAGCTTCGTTAAAACCTTATTAAGAAAATCCAATGAGACAAAACATGATTGAAGGAAGAAGAGTACTGCTACTTCTCATTTCAATTCTTGTATCAAGTGATTCATATCTTATATGTCAATATCTTCAATATTGATGTCTTGTATTTTAATGTCTTTAAGAAAATACAGTGGGACAAAAACCTGATAACTATAGTAAAATGATTATTCAGAAAAATAGCTTTTGTCGATTTCTCCAAAAGTCTCATACATATTAGAATATTA